ACAGGTGAGAGGTGCAAGACATGAAGCTATTGAAGTAGAAGAGATGGCTACATTTAACAGTTTCAACAGTGAAAGGGTGTGAGCGAGATTCCAGCCTAGTAGAACACTTAAATTCATGAAGTCTGGGAACCAGCAAAAGCAGCTCATCGGCGCAATTACCATGAAAGTATTTGTAAATAGTAATTGAGGGAGGCAACGGCATATCTGTGAGAGAGCGACTGCAGACGAGATGCTAGATCAGGTCTAGTTACATTGCATATCTGTTTCTGGATCTTATCAAGAACCTTGAGACAAACAGAAGGAGCACCGGATCATATATGGCAGCAATACTCCATGCAAGGGCGAATGGTTGATTTGTAGATTTGAAGGATCGACTCCAGTGAGAAAAATTTCCTGGCACGGCACAGGGAGCCAACTTTCCTTGCGGTGAACAAAGCTATTGACTCAATGTATTTGTTCCATCTCAGGTCAGCAGTCAATGTGAGGCCGAGTAGTTGCAAAGAGGAACTCTCGTGGAGTTGAGCATCAGACATTCTAATGGGGGGCAGTGATGGTTCTCTGTGGTGAGTAATAGAGAGCAGTTTTGTTTTTGAGGCATTAAAGTTAACCAGCCAATTCCTGCCCCAGTTCACAACCGATTGAAGGTTCTTTTTGAGACGAACGGCCAAGTTAGTTTTGTCACCGACACAAGATTTGTTTTTGAGGCAGGAGTAAATTGTAGTGTCATCCGTGTAGATGCCTACTTGGGAATATATGATGTCAGGAAGATCGTTGATGAAGATAAGGAACAGAGTAGGGCCTAGGATGGAGTCTTGGGGAACACCTGCATTTGTGGGATACGAGCTGGAGGAGAATCCATTGAGAACGACCTTCAATACACAGTTTGACAGGAATGATTGTATTAAGTCAAACAATCGACCTGAAATTCCATAACCCTGCAGCTTGCAAAGAAGGTCGGCAAGCCAAACCCTATCAAATGCTTTGAAGATATCTAGATCCATGGCACAAGCTTCTCCATTATTATGAAGGGCTTGGTAAACAATTTCAGTGATGGCCGTATGCACATCAGCTGTAGAACGGGCAAAGCAGAAACCATATTGCTTATCAGAGAGCAGATCATGGGATGTAAGATGCTTAACCACTTCGGTATTGATTAAAGCTTCCAAGACTTTGCCAAAGAGGGGTAGGAGACTGGTAGGATAGTAATTAGAAGGGTCAGAATGGTCATCAGAGTTCTTAAAGACAGGAACAATGGATGAAGACTTCCAACAGTCTGGAAAACAAAATTCATTGAGGCAGTAGTTATATAATTTGGAGAGGGTGGGCGATAGTTCAGGTGCACATTTCTTCAAGACAATGGCTGGTATCCCATCTCCACCACTAGCCTTGTAGGGGTCTAAATTAGAGATAATGCCCAATACCGATGATGGGGTAATGCGCAGCTCACTCAATAGAGCCTCCAGTTCTAAGGGGGAAATCGGGTGTGGATACACCAGAAGAGTCAAGTGTTGAATTGAATGAGAACTTCTGACCAAAGCATTCAGCCTTGTTGGCATAAGAGGTCAGGACCTTGAACTGGTTGAACAAAGGAGGTATAGAGGGTTTGCTATTGTTAAGTATGCTCTTGCAGAGACACCAATAATCCTTGGAGCTGAATTTGCAAGATGCAATACATTCTTTCATTCGAGCAATAAATAGTGACTTTGCTTCATTGAGAACACGCTTACACTCATTATGGGCAGAGACAAAGAGACATCTATTGCAGTCAGACATGTTGCTACGATATAGGTGGAAGAAGTGGTTCCTATGGGCAATGGCAGCTGAGCAAACAGTGGAAAACCAAGGGGAGGAGTGCAACTTGACTTTATATTTCCTTGAGGGGATGAAAGCCTCGATTCCAGCTTTAACCCAGGAGGAGACCTTGGAAGCACATTCTTGAATGGGGAGCTTAAAGACAACATCCCAGGGGACATCGCAAAGGAAATCCTGGAATGAATCCCATTCTGCTTGTTGATAGCAGAATGAGATTCTAGTGGTAGGAGGTTCTTTACAGGGGGTGGAGCTGAAGGAGATGTTGATAGACACTACAGCATGATCAGAATTACCAAGAGGGCAGAGCTGCATGGTGCTACAGGACTCAGGGATCGAGGTAAAACATAGATCGAGAAAAGAAGCCTTACCATCCTGGTTGTAGGGGAAAAGTGTGGGAAAATCGACCATCTGCATGAGGGATTGAGAAATTGAAAAATTAAGGATTTGAATGCCTGCAGGGTCAGTAGTAGCATTTTTGAGCCACTTGGTATGATGGGTGTTAAAATCAGATGGAGAGAGAGAGCCTTGTCAATGCTGTCAGAAATGCATTCAATTATACCACAGTCTTGGGAGGGTGGTAAGCGATAAAGGAAAAAGAAGTAGATTATTTTATTTTCTGGTGCTCCTCTCTTTTTTTTTTTTTATAATGAAAGTTATGCACGGAGCCTCCCCAGGCTCAGCTCCTGCAAACTTCTGGTGTTTTGGCCAGGTTCAGTCTTTTCTTCTTTTTCCTCTTTTTATTTGAGGGTTGCCTTCTCATAGGTAGAGAGAGAAGTATAGAAAGAGAAGTTTAGTGAGAGAGAGAGAGAGAGAGAGAGAGAGAGAGAGAGAGAGAGAGAAAGAAAGAAAGAGATAAGGGTTTTAAAGGAAAGTGCAAATGTCTTATTTTAATTTTAATTCTTTTTATTTTTGTTTATATATTTTATTTTTATATTTTTATTTTTATCAGTACTCTGTACATATTTTTATATAATTAATAACAATACAAGGATAGAGAAAATATACTTGTGTGTCACAGGTAGCCTGAGAAGGGAGGAAAAACATTATTGACTTTGCTGTTAGAAACTGTGTATGTGTATGATACACCACATGGCTGGATTTGAAGTTTAACAGCCAGCCCACCTAGGGAAAGAAATTTCCCAGGATGTGACTGCTACATATAAATAATATTTTCACATTTTAATCAGAACTGAATCACAGTTTAATAACCATAAAATGACACACAAAGTCAGTGTATTCTGTTTAAAGTAAGCACCACATTCTTTATTACTGAGAATTTCCTTTTGTTACAATTTATACAAAATTAGAATATATAACTGTTATGGGGTCCACCCCTTTTTCATATAAGTGGACTCGACCAGAGTGCTACTTGGACTGCTGCCATTAAATACCCAGAGTCAGTCAGAATATAGAGAGATTGGGAGAGTGAGCAAAGACAGAGATTGTGATTGAGATGGAGGTAGAGTAATAGTGTGAGGTAACCGCTTGTAGAAGTCAATTACAAGCACGTAGACTCTAAGGAAGTCCTACTTCAAGACTGTATATATATATATATATATATATATATATATTATTATTGCCACTAACAGCATTCCTGGATTTACTAACAGTATTACTCATTGTATTATTGTGTAAATACATTTAATTAGTTATCCTTAATTCATGCGTTTGTCATTCTTTGGAGACCGAATTTCATCTCGGAATCCACAACAATAACAATACTATATAACACATCTTGTACTTAGTAAATTCTCAAGTGAAAAGAGCTAAAGATGAAGAGAGAGCTCATGTCCTTTCTTTTATAGTCCTGGGGAGGACTATCTTGGCAGAGTAGGTGGAAGTAATTCTTACAAACAGAAGATTTGATTTTTATCGAAATAACATTGCAGATTTTTTCCTAGCATGAAAATGGGAAAAATGCAAATTATGGCATGAAGAAGCAGACATGTTTATAATGACTATAGGAAAAGAAAAGGTAGTGTAAATCCTCTTAACTGACCAGCTTTTCGAGTAACCCTTATCAAAGAGGATCAGTGATAGATTTAAAAGATCAAACCAATAAAAATGAGGATTACTTTCAGACCATTTTACTTTGTTTTATTGGTAAATTCATTTTATTGTTTAATCTTTCAGATTTATCAACAATCCTCTATGATAAGTGCTGGTTGAAAAGCTGTCTGCTTAAGAGGATTTATCCCCACTTCTTTCTTTTTGATCAGAGTTTTCAACATGTTTCCCTTTCTTCATGTTATATTTAAGCTTCATACCACTAGGAAATTGTTTTAAATGATAACTGGGGTTTATGGTCATATCATGTTGAAACATTGCTTCTTGTATGATTACTGAAGCTACTCAACATCAAGCCTTGTCAGTACTTAGATGGGTGACCACTTGGGAATACCAGGTGCTGTAAACTTGGATGTACAGGTGATGTAACAGCTTGGAATTGGAAATCGGTGGCCTGAGTTCTAATTTCAATCATGTTCATTATATTTGCTTACACAGACATACCCTTGCTAAATGTATGAATCTCCTCTTCTTCTCTTCAGCTATGGGTTAATTAGTAGGATTTGTATCAGTAAATAATTATTACCTGCCAAAAGATTTTTACAATCTAAAATTATCTTTTGGCTTTAAATAACCTGCAGAAAGTTGATAAGAATAAATAATCAATTAATTAAATGAGAATTATTTGCTCCTCACCAAATTTTCCATCTAAAGTGATGACCTTATGTTCTAAATATGAATGAACTGAAAATATCGCCATTGTCTCATTTGATATACATCAGGACTATTCATGTGTCTTGCCCAAATGCCAAAAGATTTGTGAACAGGAGTTTACTTGATGGGATGCCAACTGAAAGACGGAAATGGTAATAAAACTGAATTTCTTTCTTGTTATCAAAGAATTAGTAGCTAGTTTACGTGCTATGGGAACATTGCAAATATTTGACGTATAGATTTGTGCCTGTGGGATGGATGATGTTTCTTCACTTATTACAGAATTATTCACTCATAAAGCTCACTATTGGGCATTTACTTTTTCTTTCCTGATCTTCACTCAGCAGAGGTATAGCAAGATGGAGACGGTGGGGAAACAGTCACCTCTGGGCATAGCTGTAAAAGGGTGCAAATTTTCGTCTGGTTAGAAAAGTTCATTTATAGCTTAATGTAGCGATATCTTAAGGCCGCATCAGACTGAAACACTAGTTCTCATATGATCACTGAAGTTAAACAATGTCGAGCCTAGTTAGTACTTAGATGGGTGACTGCTTGGGAATATCATGTACTATAAGCTTGGTTGTATGGGTGGTTTAATGGATAATGGTTCAGAATTGTTAATCAGAAAGTCGAGTTCCAAATCCTGTTGGGTTCATTATATTCCCTTATGCACAAATCCACCTCTTCTCCCCTCAGCTATGGGTTAATTAGTAAGATTAGTATCGCTAAACCATTATCAAAAAAAATGTTTTTTACAACCTAAAAATATTTTTGGGCTTTAAAAGTGTTGATAAGTCATAAAAAACTAATCAATTGAAATGAATACCAGTGTTGGAAAATAAGAAAAGTAAATCTCGTACTTTGTCTTTTTGTTTCCTCAATCATGGGCACTACTACAAATGAATGGCTTTCCAAGTGATTTCCAGAATTCTAAACTAGAGATATAACATTTATTTACTCTAGCTGTTACATTCAGGAAATATGGTTCTACAGAAGGATACTGAGAATTTCATGCATAGAGTAAGTTAGCTATAGGATGTCTTAAAGAAAATGATAATGAAAAAATGCTTATGCTCAGAATCAGGAAGAGAGAGCTGAAATTCCTTGGACATAATAAACAAGTAGATCTTAGAAAATTTATTCCTCACTAGGCATATTAAGGGTAAGAGATAAGGGAAGGCAACAAGCCACTTACCTAACGATGCTATGTGAATGGATGGCAGAATGACCAGTGAGAACCTTAGCAAAAGTAGAAAAACTGATAAGGGTCACAAGTGATAGGAAGTTTTTGAGAGCCATGATTGTCCATGTCCTGAAGGGATGTGGAACATAGAAGCTGTTACATTGAAAAATATAGTCCTGAGTATGATGATAAACTACATATGGCAGCAAGGCCTCTGATTAGGAGACTGGAGGTTTTGAGGAGCGTGGAACCATCTCTTAGATGCTGTTGTTCTCAGGTTCACCCTTACCTGGGGTGGTAGCACCTGTTAGGATCCTACCTCTGGGAAAATAATGAACCTCCAAATAAGAAAACACTTTTATACATTTTTATAGTAAAAATACCATCAGTAATATTTTTATATATAAAAGAAAATTACCAGTAATACATTTTATCTGTAGTTGAAGTCATACAATTGCATTCAAGATATATTTAGTTGAATCCATGAGATTATGTTCAGAATGTTTAAATTTCAGCATTGGTGGCCCATAAGGGTTGATGTGCTGATAAGCAAAATGAACCAATCAAACAATCAACATGAAAGAACTCTTTCATAACATTGACCCATATAATACTCTGTAATTTCTTAAAGAAATCAAACTGTATTCCAAAATATAACTTCAACAAAACACACATATCACAGCCTCTAGTAACTATGTCAAACATATCACAGCCTCTAGTAACTATACTCAAACATGTATATGCACAAAAGCTGATTATCATCTACCATGTATAGTGAAAGTAGAATAACATATATCATATTTTTATTATTTCAAAGTTCTCACAAAAATTAAATTTCAGCATTAAATGACCCATAAGGAGTTGATATGCCATTAAACAAACAAATCAAATCATACATTGAAAAATAACATTACTGGATGACATGAATTTTAAAATAATTTACATGCACATGCTCCAAGTTAACGGGAAGGCCAAGACCAATGTTGCAATTCCCAACTCCCATTGATAATGGAAATAATCGATTTTTTCATGCTTCTACAGCAGTTTTCATGTAGTTTGCGGCCATTTTCTACTGGCCAGAGTGAGAGCCTGTAGCTAGCTGACATGAATAGGCAGGAAGATTCTATTGGTCAGCATGAGAGCCAACAGCTGACTGACACAAATGTTAACTAGCATGCTAGCATGCAAAAAAAAATCGATAGCTGCATTCGTTACAAGTGGGAAAAATTTAAATCTGCATGGCACTTTACTCCAATTGGCTGATTCACTTGCTTAAGCTCAAAGTTGATTCTGATTCCGCAGAACTGGGTCGGGTGTGAAAAAGTATTTGTTGTTAACATTCTTTTTTCATTTGGTTTTTCCAGTTATGAGTCCTTTTTTTAAAGCTGATCATTTTGTGTTCATTTTGTTTAGTTCTTTTTTCGTAACAGATTTAATGTTTAGTATAGAGCTTAGAAAAAATTCGCATTGTGAGATAGGCAAGAAGTAAGGCATGTAGCAACATCAGCATGGTAAAGGGCACTCCTTTAAAGACAAGGAAGGGCAAAAATATTTTAAGTCAAGTGATTGCAATTGCTGTATGAGTCGTACAAGTTTTGAATCAAGCACGGGCAACGCTGGGCCATGCTGCTAGTTTAAGTATAATTAGTATTGAAGTTTAATTCAATTATTTCTGGTTTTGCAATTACTAGGACATTTGTCCCCCCATCACAGACATATATATATGGCTCCATCAATAAAAACATTAAATCTGAAGAAGTCCTTTCAAAGGACAAAATATGATTTTTTCTGTTTTCTTTTTATCTTTGATAAATTATGTCATAATTTTTGTTTTTATATGCCTTATTTGAATCAGCATTCAACATTTTGGTTGCTATACTTACAATGCTTCAGGGTTTGTTTTTTGTTTTTGGTACTTTATTATGCTAATATTTTTTTTTTGATGATGCTATGACATTTATATATATATATATATATATATATATATATATATATACAGACGTATCTTCGAAAGGACTTAAGTCAAAGTATCACTGCATATGACTTTTCAGCAATACCAGACCTAAGGATTGAACTCTCAATTGCTGATGAGTCAGATATATTTTAAACAACATTTTAGTCCACTTAACCAGGTATTGAACTCACACTCTTTGGGTCCTGTCACTGGTGGAGAACTTTCAGAGGGAAATTAGCAGGAGATAACTGATAATTGACATCCATCAAACATGGCACGTGGAACTAGAACAGTCTACCCCAGTGAGCAAAATAAAGGGTTCAGTTTGAAATTCCAACCATCTGAAGAAGGCCGGAGCATACAACGGCCGAAATGTTGTGATAAATATGGTGACAAAGATGAGGACAATAGCCCGAATAATGTAAATAATGTACATAATACCTCATCTCAGAAATATAGACAGACTCTGAAGATTGGAGGTTTTGAGAAGCGTGGAACTTAATTTCTGATATTCCCAGATCTGGCATGGTTGCCCTTGTTAGGATCTCAGCTCTGTGCAAATAGTAAACACCATAAACAAAAACAAAACACTATTAAAATAAAATTATCAGAAATATCTTTTTGTAGTGAAGTTACTAACAATATCTATCTATAGTAATGTTACCAACAATACATTTTATCTGTAGTTGAAGGCATACAATTAAATAACCCATAGAGGTTGATATACTGCTAAAATCAACCACTCATTTCTTAATGGTAATTTTAATATTAGCTATTTCCTTATAAGGAAACATTTAGCATTCATTGACTGTGAACAGCCAGTACTACTTTCAGTTGAAAATTATAAAATCTTTCTCTGAAAACAATTTTTCAGGAAAATAGATTTTTCAAATCCAATAGATATTATTGTTCTTTCCAGTATTGATGGGGGTTTCCTTCCTAACTTTTTGTTCAAATTAGTGTGGAACGTCAGCGTCTTGATTATGTCATTATTTTCTCTTTGAGTTACATGTGATATCCATTATGGTTGTTGCTATTATTAGAAATCATCAAGTGATATGGTTTGTCATTTGGTGCAGTTCTTTGTGATTCTGCAGCATCAGACCACAAGGTTTGAAGAATTGTGGTCTTTGTCAAGACATGTAGGCTTCACTCACTCAGACTTATGTTTAACAATTGATCTTATAAATCTCCTTGCCTGGAACATCTATTGGGACTCAAGCTCAATCCAAACCTTGTGGAACTTTTATAAAGAACCCATTGCTAAAAATACTGGAAAAATGGTCAGTTCCTTGTACTGCTACAGAAAGTACTTGACTCCTTTTGTCATGCTCTATCATTACAAGAGCCATGTCAGACCAAAAATGGAGTGTTGCTGTCACACCTGATTTGGAGATGCCTAATCCTCAATTTCCAGTTTTGACAGAATTCAAAAGCATTTTCATGGCCTGCTAGATTCTCACTGTTCACGTTATTGTCATCAATGCAGACTTTCACGTCAAGGGCCTGCCCATACCATGTACACTGAGTTGATTCATCCTGATTCCTTTCATATTCCATTGGTAAGGAGGAAGTTCCATTCAAACAGCTTTTTTTTTCCTAGTACTGTTGCTTTGTAGAATAGTCTCCTATGTGGATGCTTCCCTAATCACTAAAATCTTAACCTCTCCAGCTATTCAAGTCAACCGTTAACAATCTTACATATCCTATATATTCTCTTATAATAAACTCAATTATTAACATACCACCTTGACTGGCTCTTGGGCCTTGTATTGTTCTGTGAAAACTTGAAGCACTTCACAAAGAAAACAGAAGTGTGGTCAAACTTATATGTGGTCAAATCAAATGCATAGCCTGACACATTGTTATTAACAGATCACAATATCTATTACAGAGATGAAATTTAAATTTTTATTATTGCATTATTCCAAAATTTTAACACATCAGCAGATAGCTATAAATGTCAACAACCGAGCACAAACAGTTATTAATTAAAAAAATTAGTAATTAATGTATAACATTATCCATAACTACATGTAAATGGCGTTCCAATAACTTGGACGGATTTTAAACTTAATTCACATTTAAAATCAGTCCAAATTATTGGAAAACCTTTTACAAGAATGTTGTTTTTGATTAAAATTAAAAAATAACCATAAATAAACAAAAAATGTATATCTTGTCAAAAATTCCTTTTTCTACAATATAGCTATTTGTGTTATGTTATAATGCTTATTACCTAAACATTGATAATACTGAATAATTTTTTTTAAACATTAAAGTATATTTAATCATATCTCCCTAATAGTTGTCATGATCTGTAAATAAATGTTAATGTGTAATTTTTCCAGCATAATGATAAGTTGATTAATATTCATCACTGAATTACATGTACTTACAAGGAAAGGATTATGTTGAAAAATATTTGCTGTG